CACTTTCATGGAATTTTTTTTTTTTTTTGACAGGCAGAGTGGACAGTGAGAGAGAGAGACAGAGAGAAAAAGGTCTTCCTTTTGCCGTTGGTTCACCCTCCAATGGCCAGCCGGCACATTGCGCTGATCCGAAGCCAGGAGCCAGGTGCTTCTCCTGGTCTCCCATGCGGGTGCAGGGCCCAAGCACTTGGGCCATCCTCTACTGCACTCCCTGGCCACAGCAGAGAGCTGGACTGGAAGGGGGGCAACTGGGATAGAATCCGGCGCCCCCACCGGGACTAGAACCCGGTGTGCCGGCGCCGCAGGCGGAGGATTAGCCTATTGCCCCACGGCGCCCACTGGAATTTTCTTTTTGTATTTTCACTATAGCAAACTGTGTTGTTTTTCCCTAATGTTACATTTGTCTTTGTTTTTTCTCATTCCTTTTATAACTTGAGTCTTAACCAATAATCTCACTTTAGCCTTTCTTTTTTTTAAAAGATTTATTTATTTGAGAAGTCGAGTAACAGACAGAAGAAGAGACAGATAAAAAGGTCTTCCATCCATTGATTCACTCCCCAGTTGGCCACAATGGCCATAGCTGAGCCAATTTGAAGCCAGGAGCTAGGAGCTTCTTCCAGGTTTCCCAAGTGGGTTCAGGGGCCCAAACGCCTGGGCCAATTCCTACTGTTTTCCCAGGCCATAGCAGAGAGCTGGATTGGAAGAGGAGCAGCCGGGAGTAGAACCGATGCCTATATGGGGTGCCAGCATATAGTCCCACAGGCGGAGACTTAACCCACTCTGCTACAGCGCTGCCCCACTTGAGTCTTTCTATATCTCTTCCTTAGTATTCTTTTTAAAGAATTGTTGTTCTGTCAGTAAGCAAAGTTTTCTAATATCTGCATGTCTCTAGTTCTTATTTCTTCATTCATACTGCCAATGTCTCCAGGTCACATATAAAATCTCAAACTTAACCTGCCTTTCAGAATTGCCTCCTCCTGATCTTAGTGTCTCTGTTAGTATCACTGTTAACGTTGTTAATTCTCTTGCAATTTCAAATTCTGTCAGCTTTTCATTCTCAACTTACTGTTCCTTTCCTTTTCTTTTTCCTTTGCATTTCCACTCTGTCATCTAACTCACCCCTGAGCTAGTGCAGATGTCAAGGCAACTCATCTACAATGTAAACATTCTAAACCAAGCTATTCTTCATATCAATTCAAGATCATGTACTATTCTTCATATCAACTCAAGATTCATGTTCCTCACTTGGGAGTCTTGTTCCTCTAAGTAACTACAAGGCTCTTCATTGCTTTTTAGTTTGGCATCAAGGGCTTTCAATCTTTTCCCCAAATTACATTTCCAATCTTACTTTTATACCATCCTACAAACTGTTGTGTACCTCAAATATTCTTTGAGTGTTGTAAATATCAACATTTGGTCATAACATTGTTTTAGTATGAGTTGTAACTTTTTGTTGCTAGAAGATACCATGTACTAGGTAAAAATAACTGAGGAAAATAAGCCTTTAGTGTGAGGCTTTATGTTTATCTGACCAGGAGAAAGCTTGTATGTACTATTTGCCACAGCTGTAGGAATCAGAAGATAAATTTTCTCCTGAAGTCCTTGCTTTTGTTTTCTTGTGTTTGAATTTCCCTGGAGGCTTCTTCTTAAATAAGGCTTGAAAGATTAAAGTCTTTCAGTTTTAGTTCCCTGTTATTCATTTTTTATAAAGTCTTTCCTATTCCACTAAAACTTAAGCCATCTTTTATATATTAACTATATAGTATTTAGCATCTACTTTGATGTTTGGTGTGATGTGCTCATAATAACCCAAATGAGCTATACATTATGATTATTATCCCCATTTGATAGAAGAATATGAGACCTGGGGCTGGCGCTGTGGCACAGCGGGTTAAGCTCCTGGCCTGAAGCGCTGGCACCAGTTCTAGTCCCGGCTGCTCCACTTCCTATCCAGCTCTCTGTTATGGCCTGGGAAAAGGGTAAAAGATGGCCCAAGTCCTTGGGCCCCTGCACCCACGTGGGAGACCTGGAAGAAACTTCTGGTTCCCGGCTTCGGATTGGTCAGCTCCGGCCGTTCCGGCCATCTGGGGACTGAACCAGTGGATGGAAGACCTCTCTCTCTTTGCCTCTCCTTTCTCTCAAACTCTGTCTTTCAAATAAATAAAATAAATCTTTAAAAAAAATAAAAGAATATGAGACACAGTAGGGATTTGGGGAGTTTTCAAAAGTCAAAAAGCTTGTGTCAGAGTTTGAATTTGAATCCAGAGAGCCTGATACAGAGCTTGCCTTTTAAATATATTGCTAGCTTTTCTTGTAAGATTTTTTTGGGGTCATATTTTCACAGTCCTATCTCACTCATCTCTTTAACATCCACGTGGAAGATACCGTGTGTTCTCTATAGTAGTAATCCAGTCAATAAATTTTCATTAATTGTCTTGCATCTATTGTGAGGATATCTTTACAGGTACGTCTGTTCTCTAAATTTCCCAGGAGAATAGCACTAATTTGCAACTGTACTTAAGCAATTTACATTTAGTACATGATTTAATTTTTACCACAACCATATAAGGCTAGCAAGCCTACTATAATTATCTCTTTATTTCTTCTGAGTCCTAAAGAATTTAAGTAGGTTGTACAAGGTCACACACTAGTATGAGATAGAGTAAGGATTTGAATTAAAGCTTTTGGCTTCAGTATATGCAAAGTTAACATGTGAACAAGCTTGCTTACGTTTCTACTCATTATATTTCATTAAAACAATGTTATTTTTTGCAGTTTCAATGAAAATAATATCTTAATAATAATTATTATGTTCTTCCCTCTTTTCACACTCTTTGAGTTAAAATAGATCTAGCATTTCAGTGAGATCTGGAATCTCAATTGTCAGACACTTTTCATGAAAGAATAATACCTAAAGGTTAAACTATTGGAAAAGCAGAAAAAAGAAATGTCATTACCTAGTCATTATATAGCTCTCAAAAAAGCTAACACAAGTGATGTAATGGCATTTTTATCAAAAGCCATGAAAAAATTTTATTTGCCTTTAGAGATGTTGGATCTGTGGATTTCATTGTTACCACTTTTGAGTAAAATCTTATTCACCCTATGAGCCTGTTTACATTTCACAACCTTTAAAAGCTCCAGACACAGATAACCAGCACCTCAGAAAGCTGGGGGAAATAGGGAAGTATAAAGAGATTGAGGGCATTTCAACTAATATTTATCAGGTACTCCTCTATTTTAGGGTGAGGGACAGGTAGATTATAGAGGTGGTAGACCCAGGCTGAGCAAGTAGAACTCTGAAGGGAACATTTCTATTTTGAAAGGGAAGCATATTACAAAGCATTTTTTAAATGATTATGCAGTTTTAGTTTCTGAGTAGGGGAAAAAAAGACTAAAGTTGCCTCCAAACTAAAGCAATGAGTGAATTCAGATAATTTGAAGAAGAATGGTCTTTGTATGATTTGATCTTAGTTCAAATGAGTATGATTCTTCTTACGGCACCAAAGGTGTAAAAATACAGCTTTATTTTATAAGTATTAACTGTCCTTCTAAAAGAAATGCCAAACTTATTACCTCATTGCACAGTAACTCAATGAAATACTCAAAATCTCAAGATTATTGGTAATCAGGTCTCAAAGACAAATAAGAATTTTTACTGTCTGCTGATACCAAAGTGGACAGGAATGTACCTGAAGAAGGTCATGGGCCCTGGAAGTGGCTACTGGATTTTTTGCACTCTTACTGCCATGTTGACATTGTGATTTAAACAAAGACGGTTTGACTCTGAATTCACACTATTTGTACTAGACACTAACTCTTAGTTTGAAATAAATGTCACTTCATGACAGCTGAGTGCATATTGTTCAAAAACTCACATATCACAGTTTCCAAGATCACCTGCCTTTTAGACTATAAGATGCCCTTTAGCATATTTTTAAAAATAAGAATCATACAAAGTATGCTCTCAGATAACAATAGAATTAATCTTAAAAATCAGCAACTAAAAGATAGTTATAAAACCTACAACCACTTGGAGATTAAACAACAGACCATGAGTCACAAATGAATATGCTCAATAAAAATGTAACATTTTGAAAAAACTAAGCAGAAAACATAATGTCAAAATCGGTGAGTTTTAACTAAGGCAATGATTACAGAAAGATTTTAATATTGAATGCATATGTTGAAGAGAAAAAATTCTAGAATCCATAATCTAAGCTACCAGTTTAGGAAACTATAAAATGAAGAAACTATAAAATGAATTTAAATACAAAGTAAGCAGAAGGAAAGAAATAAATACTTGAGCAGATAATAATAAAATTGTATTATAAAATCAATAGAGAACAATCAATGAAACCAAAAACTAGTACCTTAAAAAGACCAATGAAATTGAAAACTTTCTCTCTTATTTAACTGAAACAAGAAAAGATTACACAAATTACTAATAGCAAATGTGATAAGGGAGCCACCATTACTGATCCTTGGACACTAAAGTGCCACAGAAATAAAAGAATATTATTGGTTAGGAGACTTTAATAATAGGATCTCAAAATTAATTCACTTTGCAGTGATAGCCATTCACTACTAACTATGGTTACTGTGGAAACAAGAAAAACTGAAAATAAGATTTGGTATAAGTCAGTGCCCAGTATCCACTCTATACCCTGTTCTCTGACAGCATAAAAAATACTTTATTTTCTTGAAACTGACAGATCTGGGAGGAAAAGACTGTAGCTTCATAGCCAACACAAATATATGATCACTTTATGTATGAGCCATGAATCCAAGTTAATTTTGTGAATCACATGATCATAGTCATAGTCACAATCTCTTTTTTTTGGTTCAAAGGAATTAAATTTTATTGAGGTATAACTTGTAAAAGGAAAATTAATTCTGTTTAAAGAGAAAATGGTATGTGTGCATAGTTTAAACATCTCCTGTCTCATGTACTAAAATATATCATTGCACTGAAAAAAATTATATGAATTTGTTTCAAGGCAGTGGCCAGCACTTCTTGTATGTCAACTCTTCTGGGCCCAAAGAAGGATCCACTGCAAGAATCACTACATCCAAATTCTTCCCAGCAAGTCATGGAATGTGTTCTGTTCGTTTCTGGTTCTACACGGTTGATCCAGGGAGTATGGGGATATTAAAGGTACCAAAGAAAGACAGATTTGTCTTCAATATTTCAATGAAATATTCTTGATATGTTTAACCACTTTTTATTTATGCTTTCTTTTGAAGTTATACCACCAATACTGATTTCATTAATTGCTCATTCATTTCTGGGGCACTGAGACTTGGGTGCACAGTGCTGTCATTCATCTTAATCCCAGTCCATATTTATCTCATTGATTGCTGCCACCTAAACTCATTTAAGGTGCACGCTATTTAAAAGATTATTTGGAAATAAAAGAGTTTAGGCATATTATACATGTTCTAATAACAACTTAGCTGGAGATAATGAAGAAATGTCATATGACAGATAATGATGAAGAGAATTTTTTACCTAAAACAAAGTAAAATACAAAGCAAATTTAAGATTTGAAATACATATATTATATATATATATATAGGCTCACAAGATTAGAATCTACAGAAATACAGATGTCTTTAAAGAAATTAGTTGCTGAGTTTATACTTTTGTATTGCAGGATAAGGTGAATGAACTTTCCATTCATTGCAAAGAAAATTTGAGATCTAGTTGTAATTAAAAGATTACGTGGTATATTAGAACAAAGTATGTAGAGTTAGTCTTAGAAATTATTTGATTACTTGTTTCTGGAATAAATTTGAATATACTTCATAATATTCATAGAAACATGGAACTAAAATTAAGTTCATTTTGGCACCAGAAAATCTTTGAAGTCTATGTATGTGAGCAGTTTTAGAAAGTTTTTGTAAAATGCATATTACAAAAAAATAAATATTTATATACATGCATATATTTCAAATTGTTTGGTTCCAAAATAAGCTCATATTTTAATTCATCTATCCTCAAACATTTTGAAGTGTCATTTTAGAACTGGAATTTTTACCTTTATCACATTTTCACTTTTAAATAATAACACCTGTTATTTAGTGTCCCCTATGTTTCAGAGTAAATTCTAAATGTTATATGTGTTATCAATTTTAATTATTATGTTAACCTGATGAGGTAGGTTATATATTCCCAGTTTTACAATAAAGAAATTAAGACTCAAAGAGGCTTAGTAACTTTTCTAAGAATACAAAATTATCAGAAAATCTGATTTCAAAAATCTGAGATCTATTACCTTAGAGTTATCTGTCAGGTTCTCAGTAGTTGACCAAAGTCTGAGGAATGACATGGGTTAGAAAAGAAAGGGAAAAACATATTTTTATAATCATTGGCAGAAAAGGGAGGTCTTTTCACATAAAAATATACACATGAAAAATGTGGGGAACTTATATTGATTCTATGTGAATCTCTTATTGGGAAATCAGTTAAAAGAACAAAGAGATTTATTTTTTAAAGTTAAGGGTAAATGAGTAAATACAGAGATGTGAACATTGTGGTTGTGTTTCATGATTTTTATATAGAGTGTATGAATATTCAAGATTATCCCATTGTTATGCTATATTTTATCCAGCATTACATGTAATCACTGACTTTAATTGAATCCTCAACACATCATTTCCACTAATAACATTAAACACAGAGTCTTGCAGTTAAAGAAGCTGTTAGTTTACGATTATTTGTTTTTTACATAAGGAAATACCAGTCAAAAGGCCAAACGACCTTTTAATATAATAAAATCTTTCTCCTTCAAACCACAGAGTGCCCAGTATCATTTAGCTTTCCTACTTCCCCATGTTTTTTAGCTATAATTATGTAAGTACCCTTGAAATAAAAACATTGGCCTCCAGTTTTGATTTCTATTACCTTGTTTTGGGAAACTGCTGATATTTCTAACTAGTGGGCAGTAGTTAGCTGTTAACAGTGCTATATGCTCCAGGTGGTTTTCAGAGAGGTCTATGGGAAAGCGTTCTGAAGGAAGCCAGCTAGTTAGCCTGTATCTGTGTGTTTGTTGTTACCTAATCCCAATGGTCTTGATGGAATTAGCTCTGGCATAGACCTTACCACCTCCACAACTTGGCCATGGCCAATCACGGTATCCTGTAGCATTTGATTCAAAGTATTAATATATATTGTCTTGTACAACTTTGTAAGGATGCAGACTAGGTCTGGGATATTGGAGGCCATCTTTCACAACATGGGGACAGAGATTGAGAAAAATGCTAGCACTCAGAGAGACATGGTACTACAGAAAATAGAAGAAAAGGAAAGTACCTGCTCTGTTTAATCCCTAGATTCTAGTTTGCTTGAGTCAGTAATAAAATTCTCTTGTTAATTTGTTACTGAAAAATTCATAACCATTTTCAGAAACCCAGGATAAACATCACAACATGTTCTTATGTCACTGGTGATCATAACTGCTAGGGCCAATCCTGTTTTCTCAGTTAACTGCCATCAAAAATCTTAAATTAATCCCGGACTGAAAACCTTGCCAAGATTGCAGTCATTTAACGTGTGGGTGAACTAAAGAAGTGGAAGTCCAGCCTCCCTACACTTCAGATTGAGACTTCCCATCAGCATGCTATTCTTTCACATGCAGTTTTATGCTTTCTTCTAGGCAAGTCTGGCAGAAGATGGCCCAAGTGCTTGGGTGCCTGCATCCATGTGGGAGACCCAGAAGAGACTCCGCATTCTTAGCTTCAGTCCAGCCCAGCCCCAGCTGTTGTAGCCATTTGGGGAGTGGAGCAGCAGATGAAAGATCTCTCTCTCTCTAACTTTGCCATTCAAATAAAAAAGAAATAAATCTTTTTTAAAAAGGAAAATATGCATTATTAAAATATTTTCTATTTAAAATTTTAAGAATGAAATTTACTTTAGTAGCCAAATTAAGATGGTGGAAAAAGTACAAAATAGTTAAAGAAATGGGAAAAAGAAAGAATAAACATATAATACATTTAATAACATACAAACTTATGACAAAAAGAATAAACAAATTGAAACGTGGTTCTCTAGGAGGTTTAGTAAAATGGACAAACCTTTGTTAAGACCCCGCCTCTCTAGGACAAGTTGCATTTGTTGTTATTGATGGTATTTAGGATGCTGTCAACATTCTATCCCTAAAACCAAGTTCAAGTCCTGGAACATATTATTTTCTGATGAAGACTTAAGATATGTTATATTTGACATGATAAGCCTCCATCTAAATCTATGGACATTAGGATACTATGTAATCAAAAATCAAAATACCACTCATCTGAGATCTGAAGTTTCCATGCAATTCTAGTCTTGGCTGTGTAATGTCAGAAAAATAGCTTATCTTCTTTGGATCTTTAAAATAGAAATAGAAAAAATAGAGTCTTTTTTAAAAGATTTATTTATTTATTTATTTGAATGGCAGAGTTAAGGAGAGAGAAGGAGAGAGACAGGGAGAGATCTTCTATACACTGGTTCACTCCCCAGATGGCCACAGGAGGCTGTACCTTCATCTGGGTTTCCCACACGGGTGCAGGGGTCCAAGCACCTGGGCCATCCATCCTCCACCGCCTTCCCAGGCATATCAACAATGTGGGAATGGAGCAGTTGGGAGTCAAATTGGCGTCCATATGTGATGCTGGTGCTGTGGCCTAACCTGCTGTGCCATAGTGCCAGCCCAAAACAGAGGGTCTTAACATTCACTCACATCTCTTCTAGCTGTCAGATCCTAAATCTGAGTTTTTAATTTAATGTTTTAACTTAGTAATTAGAAACAAAATAGGGGGGCCGGCGCTGTGGCTCACTTGGTTAATCCTCTGCCTGTGGCGCCGGCATCCCATATGGGCGCTGGGTTCTAGTCCCGGTTGCTCCTCTTCCAGTCCAGCTCTCTGCTGTGGCCCGGGAGGGCAGTGGAGGATGGGACAAGTGCATGGGCTCCTGCACCCGCATGGGAGACCAGGAGGAAACACCTGGCTCCTGGCTTTGGATCAGCACAGAGCCGGCTGTAGCAGCCATTTGTCGCAAGCGCCTACTGTCACGTAGCTCAACAGTAGCAAATGCGACGTACAACTTGTCAGTCACGAGGAAGAAAGGAACACACGGACACAAGACTGTCTTTTCCAATTTTATTGTTCACACACCGGGGACACACCAGGGGTTTTATATCACACTACTCATCAGCATGCTCATTGGGGTCAATGCACTTATCAGTATCAATATACTTATCAATCTATACTATTTAATACACTTATCAATAAACTTAACACTACTATTTAATGTGACGTAACTATTTAACTACTTAAAACTACTTACTTAACTACTTAACTTAACCATTTAACTACTTAACTTAATACATCTACCCAGACAACGGACAAGGGGCCCGGTGTGTGTGAACCTCTGGATCTCCACACATCCAGAGCTGAAGAGGCAGCCTGCTACTCTGCATGGAGCAGGTAGTGGCACAAGCCGACCTGCAGAGCTGTCCCTGAGCTGTAACCCCACTGTCTGTGTGAGTGTGTGTGTGTGTGTGTGTGTGTGGCCCAGTGCGAGCGAACCTCTGGATCTCCTCACATTTGGAGTCGAAGAGCCAGCCCTCTAGCTTTGCTACGCGGCACAAGGCGACAGCTCATGCAGCTAAAGCCACCCAGGAACGGCGGCTAGGGCAGCTCAGGAACAGGTGCAGCTCCGAGAGCTGTGGCTGGAACAAGTCAGGAACGGGTCAGGATCTCTTCAGTGACAGCTCAGTGACAGCTCAGTGACAGCTCAGTGACAGCTCGGCTCAACTCTGCTCTTCTTTCTTCCGCTGCCAGTGGTTTACACGCACCAGGCCATGATCCTCAAAAGGATGGAGAGTAATGTTTTAGGATTAAAAAATCAACTACTCCATTGTATTCCAGTCTTCAAAGTTGAGGGCTACATGAAAAAGCAAATATTTTATAGGAACTAGGAAGTCTTTATTACCTTTTGATAGCAATTAAATAACAATCACAGTGAAAATTCCATATAGGTATCAGTATTCCCTTTGGTAAAAATCTGATTTATATAGGAAAACACTAGCTTCTACTTAATTATTACTGTATTTTCTGGTTTTGTCAAAACAGAACTTACAAAGGTGAGTTTGTCTTTCAATTACTAACCCACACATG